CTGAAAAAAACTGAAAAAAAACTGAAAAAAACCTGGCCAGGCACGCAGGGTGCAGGCAGGACACGGAGCAGCAGTGCCACCACCTCCTCCAGGGTGAGTCTGGGAAAACTTCCCCTCTAAACTCCTGGAAAATGGTTGGAATATTGGGAATGGCTCGGTGGGAAGGTGAATTTGGAATTTTATTTTTTCAAGGCAAAGATAATGAAAACTCCACCGCCCCTCCCCACCAAGAAGGTGAGAGCCTCTGAACGGCGCCTAAAGGGGGGGGGGGGGGGGGGGAGGGGAGTCCCCTGTGCCCCTTTTTGAGATTGCTCGGAGGTTACTCACACTTTACTACGGGGTTACTCCAAGGTTACTCCAAGGTTACTCCGGGGTTACTCCGGGGTTACTCAGACTTTACTCCATGATTGGTCCCACCACATTCCTGGGTTACTCTGAGGTTACTCAGGGGTTACTCCGGGGTTGCTCGGACTTTACTACGGGGTTACTCCGGGGTTACTCTGGGGTTACTCACACTTTACTCCAAGGTTGGTCCCACTGCTACTCCGGGGTTACTCCCGGGTTACTCCAGGGTTACTCAGACTTTACTCCAGGGTTACTCTGGGGTTACTCACACTTTACTCCAGGGTCGGTCCCCGTTCACTCCTGGGTTACTCTGGGGTTACTCCAGGGTTACTCACACTTTACTCCAAGGCTGGGCCCACTTTACTCCGGGGTTACTCCGACTTTACTCCACGATTGCTCCCACGACACTCCAGGTTACTCCGGGGTTACTCCGGGGTTACTCAGACTTTACTCCATGATTGGTCCCACCACACTCCTGGGTTACTCTGAGGTTACTCCGGGGTTACTCCGGGGTTACTCCGACTTTACTCCAAGGCAGCTCAGGCCCCACCTGCCCTACTCCAGCCTTACTCCACGGCTGCTCGGCCTCTGCCTCTGCTCTGGATTACTCCGAGGTTACTCCGAGGTTACTCCGAGGTTACTCCGGGTTTACTCGGGACTCACTCCGGCCTTGCTCCGCCCCCCCCCCCACTTTGTGTTGTTCCCGGCCCTTTGGGGCTACTCACACTTTACTCCTGGTTGGATCCTCCTCCGCCTTCGCTCCGCGCTTCCCTCGCCGTTACTCAGCCTCTACTCGGAGCTCACTCAGACTTTACTCGGAGCTTACTCAGACTTTACTCAGAGGTTACTCAGCGCCTGCCTGGAGTTTACTCGGCTTTTACTCGGAGGTTACTCAGAGCTCACTCAGACTTTACTCAGAGGTTACTCAGAGGTTACTCAGCCCCGGATCCTGACGTCGCTCGGGCACAGCTGGGAGGGAGCAGCCCCTACTCAGGAGTTACTCAGGAGTTACTCAGGAGTTACTCAGCCTTTCCTCGCCGCCGGGGCTGAGCGGACGCTGCTCTGAGGTTACTCACGGTTTACTCCAGGGTTACTCACCGTTTACTCCGAGGATGGCATTTTACTCCAGAGTTCCTCGGACTTTACTCCAGGGTTACTCACGGCCTGCTGAGGTGACACGTGGAGGTGATGCCTTACCCCAGGGTGGAGTTTTACTCGGGAGTTACTCACGGTTTACTCCAGGGTTACCCGGACTTTACCCTTGGAGTTACTCAGACTTTACCCCGGAGTTACTCAGACTTTACTCAGAGGTCAGACTTTACTCTGGAGTTACTCACAGTTTACTCCGAGGTTACTCAGAGTTTACTCTGGGGTTACTCAGACTTTACTCCGAGGTTACTCACACCCCCACCCCCCCCAGGCACACTCTGCACGCCCCGGTTACTCCGAGGTTACTCCGAGGTTACTCCTCCCCTCCCCCCCCACTCAGGATCGCCCCTCCCCCCCCCCCTTTTACACGTGTGGGGGGGAGGGGCAGCGGTGACGTCATTGGGGTGGGGGAGGGGTGAGCCCAGCCCCCTCCTTTTTGTGACGTCACGGGGGTGGGGGAGGGGCGGGGCCGCGGCGTTTCGGCTGTGACGGGAACGGAGAAATTAAAACCCGGCCCGGGAGAGGAGCCAGAGACCCCCAAAATATCCCCAAAATACCCCGGGACCCCCCAAAATACCCCCGGGACCCCCCAAAATACCCCGGGGATCCCCCAAAATACCCCGGGACCCCCCAAAATATCCCCAAAATACCCCCGGGACCCCCCAAAATACAACCAGGAACCCCCCCGGGACCCCAAAACACAAACGGGAATCGCAAAACTCAACCGGGACCCCCGTGAGACCCCCCGGGAACCCCAAAACAGAACCGGGACCCCCCTGGGACCCCAAAACTCCACCGGGACCCAAAAACTCCACCGGGACCACCCCCCCCCATTCCACGTGGTCTCCTCCCCCCCCCTCTCCACGCCCTAATGGTCTCTTCCACGCGCGCTGTGGGCGGGGCCTGAGCGTGCAGCCAATGGCGTGGCGCCGCTGAGGTCACGTGGGGGGCGGAGCTGCTTAAAAACCCCGGGGCGTGGCGGGCGCGGCCGCAGTCGGGGCCCGCTCGGCGCCGCTCGGGTGAGTTGGGGCCTCTCCTATCGCGACTTTTTCCCGCTTTTCCTCCTCTTTCTATCGCGATAATCGCGGGTTTAGGCGCTTCTCGGCCTCTCTTTTCTTTTTTTCCCCCGTTCTTTTTCCTTCTTTTCCCGCCTCGGCGCTCTGAGGGCCGCGCGGGGTTGGCGCATGCGCGCTCGGGGGGGGAAGGGAAGGGGAAGGAACCACGTGGGGGGCGAGGTGACGTCATCAAGAAGGGACGCGCGGAGAGATGGCGTCACGGGTGGGGGGGGATTCTGCAAAAATCGGGGGATTCCTGAGGGAGGTTGTGACGTCACAACGGCCGCGTCCCGCAGGTTTTAACGTCACCGCAGGGGCAGGGCCCCGCCCTATGACGTCACGGCCGCCCCCGCCCCCCCACGCATGGCGGCGGAGGAGGGGAAATTGTTCGTGGGGGGCCTCAACTACGACACGGACGAGCAGGGCCTGGAGCAGCATTTCAGCTCCTTCGGGCCCATCTCCGAGGGTGAGGCCGAAACACCTGAAAATCCCCTTAAAAAAAACCCCAAAAACTCACCTGGGATGGTTAAAAATTCGCTAAAACAGCCAAAAACTCACCTGGGATGGCTAAAAATTCCCTAAAACAGCCAAAAACTCACCCGGGATGGCTAAAAAATCCCTAAAACAGCCAAAAACTCACCTGGGATGGCTAAAAACTGATCTGGGATAGCAAAAAATCTCCTTAAAACACCCAAAAACTGCCCTGGGATAGCCAAAAACTGATTTGGGGTAGCCAAAAACTGATTTGGGGTAGCCAAAAATTTCCCTAAAATAACCAAAAAGTGACCTGAAACAACCAAAAATTTCCTTAAAACAACCAAAAAGCGACCTGAGGTTCCCGGGGGGAATTTTGGATTTCCCGATTGGAATTTTGGGTTTCCCGAGGGGAATTTCGGGATTCCCGATGGGAATTTCGGAATTCCCGAGTGGAATTTTGGGATTCCCGATGGGAATTTTGGGGTTCCCGATTGGAATTTCGGGTTTCCCGATGGGAATTTCGGGGTCCCCACCCCCGTGACCCCCATTTTTGCCCCCCCTCAGTGGTGGTGGTGAAGGACAGGGAGACCCAAAGGTCTCGAGGTTTTGGTTTCGTCACCTTCGCCAACCCCGAGCACGCCAGCGACGCCATGCAGGCCATGAACGGAGAGGTGGG